GAAGAGCCTGACTCACCCTTAAATGCTCTTCACAAACAGTTAACAGAGATCTAAATACAACAATGTCACAATATCTCAGAGACAAAAGACCATCACAGTCCACACAAAGAAGCAAGATAAAGTGGAAGAAACAAGGATACAGACCCAGAACATATCTCTGAGGAAGAAGCAGCATTGGAACTCCCTGTAAGGAATTCAGAAGAATTATATTTAGATATCTTCAAAGGATTGAGAGACAGATCAAGGAAAACACTGAAAAAATTAAGGAAAATACAGACAAAACCCTAGAACAATTTCAGAAGAAAATACAAGAACAAAATGACAAAATAAATGACAAATTAGAAATGATACAAAAACTACAGATAGAAATCCAGAACATTAATACTTAATTTTCAGAAATAGATAACACATTGAAAGGGCAAAGGAGTAGAATTGACTCAAGGGAAGACAGAATTAATGAGATTGAAGACAAATACCTGAATACTTCTTTAGAAAGGGATCAGTCAGAGAAAATATCAAAACAAAATGAAGAAAGCCTAAGGTTCATGTGGGATACCATCAAAAGGAATAACCTATGTGTCATTGGAATTCCAGAATAAGAAGAGAAAAATAAAACCACTGAGAAGATTGTGCAAGACTTGTTGGAAGAGAACTTCCCTTATATGATGAAAGATGAGAACATATCCATTCAGGAAGTTCAAAGAACCCCAAACAGGATAGACCCCAAAAGAAAATCACCAAGACAAATCAATCATCAAACTCATCAAAACCAAAGACAAAGAAAGAATCCTGAAAGCAGCATGGGAAAAACGAAAAGTTACTTACAAAAGACAACCAATAAGAATAAGCTCTGGTTTCTCAGCAGAAACCATGCAAGTGAGAAGGCAATGGGATGGTATATATAAAGCCCTGAAAGAGAAAAATTTGCAGCTAAGAATTATATACCTGGCAAAACTGTCCCTCAAATATGATAGTGAAATCAGGAGATTTCCAGATAAGCAGAAATTAAGGGAATTTGTTAAAACCAGACCAACCTTACAAGAGATACTAAAGGGAGTCCTTTGAACAGAGAACCAACAATAGCAAACAACAACCAACCATTAATACACAAGATGATATAACCCAGAAACCAACACAGCTATGGACATATCCAAAGTAAAATAAGCTTATAAGACTGTAAACAGGGAACCAGAGACATCAATTGGCAAATGAGGACAACTACAAACCAAAAAGAGGGGGAAAATAGTGTAGTTACAGAACTTCTAAATGGTGAGGAAGTCAAGAGAGTTGCAAGATAGAATGGACTGTTCTAAACTCAGGGAGAAAATTATAAATCACAGGGTAACTTCAAAGAAAAATGATAAACCTTCACATCACAATAAAAAAGAGGACAAGCACAAATATTTAGCAAATACTAAAATAGTAGCAACAAAGGAAATGATTATACAATTCATAAACATAATGAGCTCAGCACAGAAAATTATATGGTACAAAGAAACCAGGAACACCATGAAAAAACACATAATGAAATGACAGCAACCAATTCATACTTGTTTATAATTACACTGAATGTCAATGGATAAAATGCATCACTCAAGACATGGAGAGTTGCAGATTGGACAAGAAAACATAACCCATCAATATACTGTCTACAAGAGACATACCTTAGAGACAAAGACAAAAATAGACTAAAAATCAAAGGTTGAAAAAAGATACATTAAGCAAATGGCAACCAATAAAAGAGCAGGAGTGGTAATACTAATTTCTGATCAAACTGACTTTCAGATAAAAACCACCAAGGAAGACAAGGAAGGACATTATACATAAGGTCATCATGAGTTGGCACTAACTTAATGGCATCTAATACAACCACAACATAAACATACTTGCACACACACAAACACTTTTAATCCCACAAAACACTGGACTCTCTGTTACTTGCATTTGTTCACTCACTCGTTCACAACAAATATTTATTACGATCTGTTGTGTATGGGGCATAAAGCAGTGACAAATACTGTTTCAGATTGTAGGGAGCTTGTGGTGTTTTGGGGAAAAACAGACATTAAACATATATTGCATGTGCCTTGAAGGAGATTGAAAGGTACAATAAGAGGTGTACTAGGGGGCCTAACTTAGAAATATTATGAAAGGTTGTCCAGAAAGGGGACAATTAAGCTAAAGACAATGAAAACAGTGCTTTATGAGCTGTTTGAATTGACTCACTTTTAGAAGAAAAGGAAAGAAATGAAGCTGATTATCTTACCCCCAGATGTGAAGATAGAGATAAATAACTATATGAAGCAGCTGAGAAAGGGTCAGGACTACACAAGGGGACCAGATAGAACTCAACTTGAGAAAATCATAGCTTACAGAGAACAGTTTTCATTAAGACCTCATATTTGCAGGAATAGATAAATGTCTAAATAGCTTTGTTGTTGACTTCTTCTTTTGGGCAACTTGTCTCTAGCCTGATATCCAATGAACTTGTCACCAACAGAGAAGCAGGTAGGAAACTTTTTTGTATTCCTGAGATAAAAACACTGATTTTTTTTGGTCTACTCTTCAGTGATTTTTGGCCCCTTGTGCATAGGAGCTCTGGTAGCATAAGGCACTTGACTGCTAACCAGAAGGCTGGGGGTTCGAACCCACCAGCCACTCCTTGGAAGGAAGGTTGGGCAATCTATTTCTGTAGTGATGCTGCCTTGGAAACCCAAGGAGGGGTCACTATGAGTCAGGTCTGACTCGATGGCACATAATAACAACAACGTGCATAGAGAAAGGAGCTCTGGTGGCTCAGTGGTTAAGGCATTTGGCTGCTAACCAATAGTTTTAACCAGCAGTTTGAACCCACCAGCTGCTCCTCAGGAGAAAGATGAGGCAGCTGGCTTCTGTAAAGATTTACAGCTTTGGTAATTCTGTGGGAGCAGTTCTACTCTGTCCATATGGTTGCTGTGGGTTGGAATCAACTCTATGGCAGTGGGTTTGGTTTGGTTTTGCTGCATAGAAAGAAAATAATTATTAAGTATTTGGGTTAGTTTTTCTTTTTTTAAAGCTTGTTTTATCTGTTTGTATTTTTCCTTTACAGCTGCAATGTTAATATAGCTGCAGTTGCACAAAAATTTTTGTAACTGAGAGTCTTCTGTTGTACACTAAAACAAGTCTCAGACCCTTGAGACTACGACCCTGGCTTATCCTTTGGGCCTGGAACTGGACTCACTTCTGTGGATTAGCTCTCAGCCCAACTGACCTACAAGCAGAACACCTACCCCAAGGAAGTGCACCCACCTACTCTAGGGAGATACACCCCTTAGATCAATCAACCATGAGATGTAGGAGGAGATGGGAGGGGAGTTTTTTATGGTTCGGGATTGTAATCGGGGCTGTGAAACCAAATGTGCATGAACTGTTGAGAGTAAAATGAATCTGCTTTATAAATTTGCACCCAAATCACAATAGAATAATAATAATAAAAAGTCCCAGAGTTAATAGCTATTCAGTTAAGAAGTTGTGACTATTTTCATAGTTTTATCATCATGTTAATAACATCTTAAATGAGATGACATTTTATACATTGTGTTAAAAATTAAAATCTTCATTCAATGTTATTAATTAATTAAATAAATTTTAATAAGTGCTACCTTAGCCTGAGCAAATACCTGTTGGAGGGAAATTAAGTAGCCACTGAGATGTGAAATATACAATAATAACTATAGCACAAGTGAGCAGGTAAAAAAATAGATGTTATGTGTTACGGAGGAGGGGAAAATTTTTATCATTGGGAAATTGTTAGGTACTGTTGAGTCTACTTGACTCATGGTGACAGTAGAAGGAAACACTACCTGGTCCTACACCATCCTCACAATCCTTGCTATACTTGAGCCCATTGTGGCAGCCACTGTGTCACTCCATCTTGTTGAGGGTCTTCCCCTTTCTCACTGACCCTCTACTTTACCAAGCATGATATCCTTCTCTAGGGAATAGTCCCTTCTGACAACATGACTCAAGTCAGTGAGATAAAGTCTGGACATTTCTCTATTCCAAGAAGCATTCTGGCTGCACTTCTTCCAAGACAGACTTGTTTGTACTTCTGGCAGTCCATGGCATTTTCAGCATTCTTCACCAACACCACAATTCAAAGGCATTAACTCTTTGGTCTTCCTTATTCATTGTCCAATTTTCACATGGATATGAGGCGATTGAAAAATACAATGGAAATTATGGAAGGCTTAAAGAAAATCCCCTAACTCCTTGCTGTCTGACACATGGTAGTATCATGTCTTTTAGAGTAGAATTGCTCCATAAGGTTTTTGGTTTCTTTCTAACTTTTTATTGTGATTTGGGTGAAAGTTTACAGAGAAAATTAGGTTTCCACTCAACAGTTCACATGTATTTTGTTTTGCAGCATTGATTGAAATCCTTCCCACTTCCTCCCCGTGTTTACTATTTCCATTCATCCTTCTTTCCTATCCCTTCTTGCTTTCTGACCCTTATCCCTGGGCCAGTGCTGCCCTTTTGCTCTTGTATGGTTGATTGTTCTAAGAAGTGTGTATCTCCCTGCTGTTACTGTTCATCTTACAGGCCTGTCTATTGTCTGGCTGAAAGATGAGCCAGGCTTGAAGGATAACTAAGAGCCACAATCTCGGGAGTTCTACTAGTCTCTATTAGACTATGTAAGCTTGTATTTTTTTTTCTTCATAATTTTGAGTTTTGTTCCACATTTTTCTTTACTCTATCCAGGACCTTCTATTCTAATCCCTTTCAGAGCAGTTAGCAGTTGTAGCTGGGCACCATCCAGTTCTTCTGGTTTCAGGTGGTGAAGGTTGAGGTTTACATGGCCCATTAGTCCTTTGGACTAGTTGTTTCCATGTGTCTTTGATTTTCTTTACTCTTCTTTGCTCCAGACAAGGAGAGACCAATAGTTGTACCTTAAATGGCCACTTGCAATCTTTTAAGAACCCAGTCATTACCCACCGAAGTGGGATGCCTTTGTGGACTATGTTATGCCATTGATCTTGATGTCCCCTAAGACTATAGTCCTGAGTTCCCAGATGAAGGAACTCATTTCCTCAAGGTGTTTGGTTATGGCTAAGAAATGTTCATACTTTGCCCCCTGTAAGTTCTACTATATTCATGGATATATTTGTAGCACATATAAAGACACAGGTAGAAATATCCTCTGTCAAACCTTTATATATTTGTGGGTATAGTCCCATTTGCCTTCCCACACCTGTTCAGCCTTGCATCTCTATATATCCACTTATAGATTATTGCATTACTGTTAATGCAGGATTGTGCATGTAATAGTATTTACCTTGGTTGCCTTTAATTCTTTTGTTCCTCCCAGTGTTTTCCTTTGCCTTGATCATTTTGTACTGACCTCCTCCTTCTTGTAAATTGCCTTTCCCTTCACCCAAGTTAATATACGTCTACCCTCTACTTAGCAATGTAGCCTCTCCTCCTCTCCCACCCATTGTTTTTTTCTTTTTTTTGGTCTGTAATATTTGTGGAAGCAGATTGCCAGGCCTTTCTTCTGTGTTGCCATTGGGCAGGTTTGAACCACCAACCTTTAGGTTAGTATTCAAGTGTAAACCATTTGCACCATGCAGGGAATTTAGGGAAGACTTCAGTAGGGTGGTAATTAGGAATAAGGGATCCATGGATGCCTAGAGGAGACAATTATGAGTAAACAGAGGCAGGAAATAACAGTGAGCATGTAAAATAAGAGTTGTTCTGTTTTGTTTGTACATGGGAAAAGTGAGACAGAAGTGAAAAGTAACGGGGAGGGGGCAGCTCGTGGTTTGCCGTGAGTGACTGATTAGTGGGAAGCCACTAACAGATTGTGAAGAGAACAGCATAAGCAGAGCTGTCCTTTAGAAAGAGTGACCAGTGTTTAGGATGGATTCCTCTTTAAGACATGTTGAAAGCAAAGACTCCGTAAAGTGCACTATTGCAATAGACTAGGTGTGAAATAATGAGGTCCTGACTTACCAGGGTGGTGGAAGAAATGGAGAAGAGGACATAGATGGGGAAAATATTAATAATATAGACCTTTGATTTTATAAGATGTTTGTGGTTTATCTTTTAATCTCAAAAATATCCAATCATAATTCTAAAGTAATATCTATGAGCTTTATCAGCAATTGAGCCAGATTTTCCATGTGCCTAGGTTAATCATATGCTGTTAACTCAGGTAAACTCTGCTTAGTCTTCCAGGCCACTGGCTACATGTTTTTCAAGCCCTTCAGTTATTATTTCCTTGTATTTACTTAGAATTCATTTTCACTTATATTGCCCTTTATAAACCAAAACCAAACCAAACCCACTGCCATCAAGTCGATAGCAACCCCCACAGGGTTTCCAAAACCGTAAATCCTTATAGCAGTAGATTGCTTCATCTTCCTCCCACAGAGCAGCTGGTGGGTTTGAACCACTGACCTGCTGGTTAGCAGCCAAATGCCTTATCCATGACACCACTAGATCTCCTTATTGTCCCTTATAGAACTTTGTTTTTGTAGGCAGTGTAATTAATACTAATCTCATTTTACAGAAAAGCTTGCCCAAGGGTATAGCCAATATTAGATGATAGGTTCTCTCCACTTTTTCTTATTTTCTCTTAATCTGCTATAATTCTGAGTATTCAAATCAATATTAAGATCTTGAGAATCTAGAATAGCAACAGGAAATTTCATCTAAGCTCATATCAGTGTTATCAGCCTCTGATTCCTGGCTTCCCCTCCCCATCCACTCTGCCCTACATGGATCTGGGATCATCTGGAATCAATAGACAGAATCATGGGCAAGCTCAACATTTCGTTCAGTCTGGGGCCTTGGAAACTACTCTGAATCCACTCTAGAGAGGGATTTGAAATTTTAGCCCTAATTGGACTTTGGAAGTGGAGAGGGTAGAGAAGGGGTCTTTTAGAACTCCAGAGCTACTATTCTCCCTGCCTGAAATAATTTTCCCCCATCTTGTTTACTTGGCAACTCTCTGATCCTCTGAGAACTTCCATGAAAAGAGGCTGTGTGTCAGTCACAGTGGTTAATAATATGGATTCTTCAGATGGCAAGTGTGAGTTCAGTTTCTGCCTCTGTCACTTACTAGCCATGTGGCCTTAGACACCTATCCTCATCTCTCAGTACCCTTAGCTTTCTTGGTTATAAAAGGAAGATAGCCTTACAAGAGTTGCTGTGATGATTGCATGTAGATCATTAGAACACAGTCTAGTTCATAACCGCTACAGACCCCCAGATGTGTTAGGCATCCACTCTGTTCTCACAGCCCCTTGCCCAAGACTTCATCATAGCACCATCATGCAGTATTTTGTTTCCATGTCTATCTTTTCACCAGACTGTAAGCTCCTTGAGGGTGGTACTGTATTGCTAATGGCCACCATGTTGGTGGGAGTTCCGGTGGCTGTCCAGCTATGTACCGGGAACCATGCTTACTTATAAATGAGAAGACTGAGAGTCTGAGAGGCTAAATATTGCCCAGAATCACATATGTGGTCATCAACAGACAAAGATTCAAAGCTGGTATGTTAGTTGCATTCCCAATCATCACCCTTAGTATCTTTATCTTTTTCATCATGGTGTACTCCAGGGCCTGGTGTAATGCTTAACATGGAGTAGATGCTCATTAAATGTTTGATAAATATATTTGATGGATTTTACCCTCTGGGTGGTCGAGTCTGTACTCATCGCATGTGGCCTATGTGAGGGACTACTAAGTAGCTGACAGCACTTGAGAGACATGCTTGTCCCAATTTTTGCAACACCTCCTTGACTTTCATATTTGGCAGGCAAGGTTATCCCAATTCTTATAGGGGCAAAGAAGAGAGGAAAATGAATCTTTAAGGGTTAATTGCCCAAAGCCAGTGGAAACAGAGCCTAGAATTCCTTGATCCCAGACTAGGCCTCAAGTCTATCCAAAATGATCTTGAATTGGTGCAGAATTTCTCAGAGTGTCTGATTAGAATCTCCTGCACACAATGCCTTTGACACTAATATTGATTTATTTGGAAATAAAGCTGTTTGTTATGCTACTAGTTAATAATTGAATTCACTTAAGAGTAAAATAAAAGAGAGGGTAGCAGTCAATTTCATAGTATTTGTTTCATTCATTTACATTCATACAGTCAACAAGTAATTCTTTTTGTTTTAAATTTTATTGTGCTTTGAGTGCAAATTTACAAAGCAAATTTGTTTTACATTCAACAGTTCATGCACATTTGATTTCACACCTCAATTACCATCCCCGACTATAACAAACTCTCCTCCCCTCCCATCCCTGTGACTAGCCCCTCCCTGTGCCCTTCTTATCTCTGCACTCCTGTCTGTCCAGCTTTCCCTCTGTGTGAATGCTGCCCCTCTGGTGTCTCATGGCTGATTGCTCTAAGGAGTGCATCTCCCTAGAGTAGGTGAGTGCATAGCCCTGGGGCAGGTGTTCTGTGTGTAGGTCTTCTACTGATGGGCTGAGAACCAATTCATGAGAGTGAGTCCATTTCTAGGCCAGAAGTATAACCCGGGGCCATAGTTGGGGGTTCCACCAGACTTTATATGACCAGTAATTTGGTCATTTTTGTGTTTTTGAAATTTGTTCCCCATTTTTCCTCCCACTCTATCCAGGATCTCCAGTTTTGATCCCTTTCCTAGTGGTTGCCATTGGTAGCTGGGCACCATCTAGTTCTTATGGTCTTGAGGTCATGGAGGCTGAAGTCTTCCCGGTCCATCCTATCCTTGGAGTAATTGTTTCCACATGCTTTTGATTTTCTTCATTCTTCTTTGATTCAGATGAGAGGAGATTAATAGTTGCATCTTAGAGGGCCACTTGAAAGCTTAACAAATAATATTTGAGCTTCTATTACACAGCAGCCACCATGCACAACATAATGTATGAGGAAATAGTAGAACAACCCACCTACTGTAATTTTTCTTGAAAGAACAACCAAAACAACTCAAATAATTTTTTTTTGTTTGTTTATTAAGGAGAAAGTTTCAAAACCAAAAAAACCCCAAACAAACAAACAAAAACCCAAAAACAAACCAACTGCCATCAAGTTGATTCCAACTCATAGAGACCCTATTGGACAGGGTAGGATGGCCCCATAGGATTTCTCCAAGGCTGTAAATCTTTATGGAAGTAGTCTGCCTCATCTTTCTCCTGCAGAGTGACTGTCGGGCTCAAACCACCAACCTTTAGGTTAGCAGTTGAATGCCTTAATTATTGCATGACTGGAGCTCCTTTGAAGTTTCAAAGGATGCATATAAATTGAAAGGAACTCTCTAGACTTGGAATCAGAAGATTAAAATATCAATTCTGTCACATATGATAAAAGTTGGAATTTACTGAGCATATATTCGGTGGCAGACATTGTGTAAAGCCTTCTCATTTAATCTTTTACTAGTTATGATCTATATTATATTAGCTATTATTTGAGCCTCAGTTTGCCCATTCAAAAAATGGAGTAATAATTCCGTACCAATCTCATTGGTTTGTTGTGAGGATTAAAGGAGGTAATGTGCATGTGAAAGCTCTTTGCACATTCTAAATTGAGATCTCATGGCACTTCTTATAATGTTATTGTTGTTAGGCACTGTTGAGTTAGTCCCGACTCATAGCAACCCTGTGGACAACAGAATGAGACACTGCCTGGTCCTGTGCCGTCCTCACAGTTGTTGCTATGTTGAGGCCATTGTTGTAGCTGCTGTGTCAATCCATCTCATTGAGGGTCTTGCCTTCTCTTGCTGACCCTCTGTTTATTACAATAAACGTGGTTTTATTACCATAACTTAGATTTTCTTATACTTTACGTTTTTCTCTGTCCTACTGTATTTTTTTCTGCTGATAAAATGATTTTAATTTCTGTTTTCCATGCTTTTTCTCTGAAGCTGACATCTATAATCATTTGGCTATTTATAAATGATTTTTCTTACAGTGGGCAGTGAAGAAGAGGGTAGAGGAGACAGAGCTGGAGAAGAAAACGCAGAGAGGAAAAGGGACACAAATCGAATGGAAGCAAGAA